CAGTGGCGACATATTAGTCATTATCTGATCTAAAGTATTGTTCTGGCGAGTTGGTTTCTTAACAATTTTCCTCAAATCAAAACAATTACATAATGTTCTTAATTTCATGTTGTTAAAGTCTCCAGCGATTATAATTCCAGCAGAGAGATAGCTCTGTAGAATAAAGTCGATTCCATTAGTAAGATAATCAATCATAGTTATCTCATTTATAGCCGCTTGACCTGGGGGATAATAGGCTGCAACCATAACAATGCAACTGAAAGGCCTTGGAAGTCTTTGTGGTTTCAACAATAGCCACAGAGCCTCTTTGCCTTCCTTTTCCATGTCGAACAAGCGGGTAGAAGGTATTGCAGTTTTAACATAAGTAATTAAACCGCCGCCAGGTGTTCCTCTCTCTTTTCGGTATGGAGTACAGTTAGATCCAATAGATATAACTCCATCGTATATGCTGGGATCTAACCAGGTCTCAGAAATACATATAAGGTCAGGATCATTAATTTCCGCAACTGAGCTGAGCTCATCCATTTTATTCAGAATGTGACAAGCATTAGTTAAAAATAATGAAGGAACAGTCTGTTTGTTCGTTTTTATATCGGTAGATATCTTCATACAGTTCGTAGGCTCATGGGACTTTCTTCTATCAGTATAAAGCGTATTAATGTGGGGAGTGGTGCTCGCGGTTTTAGAAAATAGTTGTTGTCGATGAGTAATTCTTGTCGGAATCGGCATTTTTATCGTTTCATAGTGCGATGGACAAGCTTCAGGGGATTGATCCAGTCCTGCTTGTGACAGCGACTGCGTGTTAAACGTGTCCGTTATTTCCAATTGAGCTTTAAAAAATAATTATTCTTATACGATTCCGGGCAGCTGATATTTGGCCGCTGAACTGGTTCCAATTTAGGTTTTCCTTCTATGAGAGGCAACCTCTCCATCCAATCTACTGGGAGACATTTATGCTAAGTATTTTTTGACATAGGTTGTATTGGGGTCTTGATGGAATTCGCCGTCATTCTAGCATCTGTTGCCTTCATGGTAGATGTTTGTGAAATATTTTGCTTAGCAGACTTGAGAGTACAAAATGCCTTGTGCTTTCCCTCTAAGAGAGGCAGCTTTCCTAACCAATTTTCTGGATTATTTTTTGATAACGCAAGAGACATGGTCGTGAGGGCCTTCAGGGTTGTTATAACAGGGACTGGGATATTTTGCAAAGCCAAGTTAGAGTCAGAGACATGAGATTTACCACTATTTAGACTAATATATAGCTTAAGTCTACGACGTCGACGTCAGCTAGGACGTCAGGGCTAAGCAGAGGACTGGGACTAGGACGTCGTCCTAAATAAATAAACTTCCTCTTAAGATTCACGACGTCGACATTTAAACTATAAATATTTACATTCTTTTAAGAATGAATTTTAAAGAGACACATGAATTCATTACCGTTTGTTATGCTCTTGTATCCACGACTGTAAAACTCTTGTTGTGAGGTTGTAGACGTTTGGTGGACGACGAGCAAATTGAGAGAGACACATGCACACTTCAAAAACTATTACCAATTTTATTCCGCTTGTCGCCCTAAATATTTGACGTCGTAGATATTTAGAAAATCTACTTATTTAGGACGACATCCTAGTCCCAGTCCTCTGCTTAGCCCTGACGTCCTAGCTGACGTCGACGTCGTAGATCTTAAGCTGTCTAATATCAGTGTTATTCTCGTGCCTTGTACCCGTAGTCTCATCAAGAGGTATTGTTTTTGACAACAGGCTTCGTTGGTTTTCTATTGTGTCATTACATTGGGACGTATCTTGCGTATCTAATGAGTATTTTTGTTGTTTTAGTGAGTCTTTTTCTGCCTCCAATAATTTAGTTCTAAGTTACCTAATAGTATTATCACGATCCATAATTAATTTATTCCTCTCATCAATGATTTTAAACAGCTCATTTACCGTAGCCTCAGTTCTGCGATCATGAGTAAGACCACTGCCATCACCGGGAAGAAAAATTTCACTGATTGACTCTATAATGCCGTTTGTATAGAATCAAAAACATTGTTAATAGAACTATAATTTGTTTCTGCAAATCTTCAATGTCTTGCTTGACGTTCTTAATGTCATTTCCACATGGGTTACAATCACAGGTATGATGACTAGATATATGTAGCTCTGGCTCAATTGCAGCTTTAGTATCTGCAACGATTTCACACTGCTTTTCACAAGGTTCGGCAACTGGATCAGCCGTTTGAGTCGAAAACTTTCCATTCGAATTAGGACTGTCAATGTTTGGTTCTTCTAACATATTTACTACAAAATCCTTAAATACTATGCCGTCCTTTCCTTGAAATAACAAGTGAGCTTTATCCTTAAGTGATTTTATCGTATTCGTATCCACACACTTTACAAGAAAATTGAGATTACCTAAGGAGCTCGCCGAAACATGACCAGCCGCCATGTTGTTAATGATCAGCTTCGTTTGCTATATATAGCGATTTTTAAACTTACATAAACAAATACCTTTGTACAACAGCTTTGTTGTGAAAAATCTCTAGCTACAGATTTTATTCACGATTTTTTGAGTTGCTAATGCCAGAGCTCGAGCTTGCGATTAAATTGGATTACTATTTACACGCTACGGTTCATCGTTCACGGCTAATCGTGACAAAAATCGCAGCATGTAAACGTACCTTAAAGTGCATATGACATGGAATTTCTTATTTTCTTAAATGAAAGAACTCTTTAAGCTGTAGTGTAACTTATTTTTTAGTTTCTTATTTTTATGGTTTGTTCCCGAGATATTTCAATTTGGTTGATATGTAAATGAGTGTGAATATGTCCGCTAATTTATGACGTCATGTTGGTTGCAAGCTCTTCAAAATGGTTGAATATCACTGCTATCATCCAAGATGATAATTTCAAACTTCACTCACTGGTAAATGTGATGAAACACTGTAGAAAAACGTGAACAGATATCTACAGTTTTTAGAGTTAATAGATTTATAACTAGGGTACCTGCAAGGTAGGGATTGCTGCGGGCATTAAAAGCAAATAGAACTACAGTAAACAGTACAAATTATATCAAGCACAGTGATTACTCGCAGCGACTAGTGAGCTGTGAATGGAACTGAGAAGAAGCAATATATATTGAAGTAGCAAAGACCAGGGGTTAAAGCGCAATCAGAGGTGACAGTGTCATGTGCGTCTCATTGACATACAGGTAAATTAAGATCAGATTTCATATCAAGTCTGCATACTGCTAGGCGCATTTACCACATTATATAGACTATATACACAGATTTATCACACTAAGAAACCAAAACTTTATAAAAATATATGGAACTGACAGTGACCAAAGTCCAAAACTAGGGTTCGGCGATATTAATAAAAAACTCTCACGATTATTGCCAAGGAAATTATCACGACACTCGATAATATCGCGATAAATGCAATAAAAACAATGACCATTTTTTTCAATTTTAATTAATATCATTGAATAGTAAGCTTATATATAATCTTATTAAAAACAAATAAAACAACAAATTAAAGTCATATGAAAGCTTTTTCTAGTCTAATATTTACTGTTCATAAACTAGAACTGTCTATGCAGTGTCTACTGTTCTCTGCTGGCAAAAATGCCGTGGGCACACAGCCCGACACAGCGCAAGCAAAGCCTGCAATTCCATTGTTCAGCAGATAAATATTAGCTTTTGTATCGTATTAAATTCGTATTTAATTGAGGAAATAGTTTTAGTTCTTTTAAAAACTACATTTTCTAGGGAATTGAAAGAATTTTTTAGGATTTTATAACAGCTATATACACATGCGAAGCAATATCACGATAGTTATCGAGCATGACGATAATTTCGATATATCGTCGCTCAGGTTTCTACCTTCGATACGATAATCGTGACTGTAAATATCACGATAAATCAAAATATCGAAATATCGCCCAACCCTATCCAAAACAAATGTAAGTGTAACATTAGACTTGAAAAAGCTTTAGAAATTCGATAAAAATTCGAAGACTCGAGCGAGTTTAAAGTTTGTGTTCTGCGCATAGAAAGCGCGCACGACCACAATTCCATGCGCTAAATAAAATTTAGTTCAAAACCCCCCTCTCTGCACATATTAGTCTGCTGCTACGCTCGCTCGCTTCAGGCTCGCTCGCTCCGCAGTGTAAGTTGAGCTTGCAACCAACGTGACGTCATAAATTAGCGGACATATTCACACTCATTTACATATCAAACAAATTGAAATATCTCGAGAACAAACCATAAAAACAAAAAACTGAAAAATAAGTAACACTACAGCTTAAAGAGTTATTCCGTTTAAGAAAATAAGAAATTTCATGTTAGATGCACTTTAATATAAGAACTTACAATAGTGCGTTTCTTATTCTATTTTGACCTAAATTTTTAACCATATTTTATCACAATTCGGAAAACGTACTTACCAAAAAGGCCTGGGACGATGTTGTGAAGCTATTTTTGGAAACGTCTATTTACATTTCTTCGCGCACAAGCATGCATTATCAGAAAACGTGATCAAGCCAGCGATGTTTTTGACAACACCGACCTCGCACGTATATAATTTAACCGTTTATTATATTCATTTTGAAATCAATGGTGTTTCCTGCAATCTGATTGGTTTACAAGAGTGCGACTTCAGTAGGAGTCGCACTCCTAGCAGTGCGATTCGTGCTGAAATCGCACCTTCTTTCAATCAATCACATTAGAGTACTGACCTCAGCCAACCAATCATTTATTCATACGATATTTTTCTGTGTTGGTGTTGTGTACTCAGGTGAATAATATGATGCTTGTGATGTTACTCTGAGTGTATATCCACACCGGGCGAGCTTGAAAAATATGCCCGGCCACTGTGGGAATCGAACCTACGACCTTTGGAATACTAGCCCAATGCTCTGCCAACTGAGCTACG